TGTCGAAGGACATCGCGCTGGTCGTTGTTTCACAAAACACTGCTGGGATCGTGTTGTAGCGCTATTCAACTTGGTGTCTGGGCATAGCTGGACCAAATAACAACTTCGCAACCATTGGGACGAGATGTAGCGAGAGCGTCTCTTGGAACTTCTTAATAGCAGCGAGGTCAAATACAATGATTCTACTGGCAGAATTGATGTCTCCGAGGAATGGCGGTCTTGAAAATTGAAGGTAACAACTTCATCCGCCACCATCGTGTACGGTGAATCTGTAATTCAATTGTCGAGATTCCATTGCTAATATTTCTTGTATGAGGTAACCATTAACAATATGAGTACATGTGTGACCGGCTTCGTTTATTTGAAGTTGTCCAGTGCCTTTACTTGTTCGGATGCGTTGGTATGGTTTATCAACTTATGTTTTGAAAAACGTGAATTCGTTATCTACGTTCTCATAATAGATCAGTACACCGCATAGGCAAAGGAGGAATGCGATTTTTTTCCACCCAATATGTTACTATCTTGTGTTTTACATAAGTGGAAGCCGTTTCATTGTGCACATTGTAGTGACCTGCCTCCTCCCTTCGCACTTATTTTCACTTAACTATTTTTGTACTATCACGCATGGGGAGGGCATTAGGGGCAAATTGTTGGTGCTGCCGTCTATATAGGGCATGAGAGTGCAGTTAATGTTTTCCATCCACACCTCCTGCGATGTTGATTTAACTATTTTCACTTTTTCGTCGCAGGAGAACAAGGAAAACAAGGACTTCAACGATCGAGATGTAAGTGATATTTACATTCGATATCTTTAGCTGTTTGGGTACAGTTACAACAGTAAAAAGTACGCAGTTACCCCCAACGAAGCTGTGCAAAATTGGCTTCGAATGTTTTGAGGACAGTACTCTTGAAGACCAAAGAGATATAATCCCAGACCAGGGGGAGGGCAGCGATTCAAGTGACGAGGGTGGCGATGGGAACAGTAGTAAAAGCATGAGTGTTTCGAAGGCCAGAAGTGACGATAAAAGGAAGTCGAGCACATCAAAGTAGCAGGGAAAGAAAAAGAACATTTCCACATGTGAAGTGTCCTTCTCGGTCGACTTGGAAAACAATGCCACTGAGGAGGTGGCGGTGAAGATTAACAGCATCGTTGATTCGACGGACAATGCTGGAGTTGTGTGTGTGGAGGAATTGCTTTTGACTGGTCGGCACCAGCAATGGACGCCATGTACTTCTACGCTTGCACTTTCCTAGTGCAAAAAAGATTTCGAGACGTTCTCAGTGCCATGCAAGATGCCGATGAGAAATTTGAATGGATCAAGTGGCATTTCAACGAACGTAATAGATCACAACATTAGCTTTTTCAGTAAATGCTAGTTAAGACAGTGTTACCCTTTGTAAGCTTGTTAATTTCATACAATTTTTTTCCTATGTTAGTTTTTTTTTTTTTTTTTAGTTTTTGTTATTCTCCGTACCGTGATATGATTTAGGCTTGCATGTTATGTTATGTTGGATACATTTATTTGGTACTACTGTGTTTGTTTTTAATAACATGTTTTCCCATGTGCCTGCTTTCCCACTGTCTTAGATATTTTATGTACTTTGTAAGATTCTTTCTTTTGTACATGTCATGCTTGTATCTAAAAGATGAATCTATCCCTGACAATGACATACTACCTATTCATATTAGTCATAAGTGCAATAGTGTGCATGTTCTTCACTCCTATACATATATATTGGTCCACAAATGGAAGAGCATAATAAGTTGAAGTAAGGGTGTTATACGCTGCTTTACTACAATATATTCTAAATATAGTAGTCCGCAAATGGATGAGCTGGATTTTAACTATTTCCTATTCTCGCACTCCGATGTTGAAAAGGAAATTAGTGAGGAGAAATTTTGCAACGACCTTGCCGTGGATGTCGATGCATGGCTGCAGTACTGCAAAGTTGCTGGCAGTGAAGCGCGTAACTACTATAACAGATAGGGATGACAAATTCACATATTTCCTTTCTCAAGAAATGGCCACATATTTACAATGGAGGCATTAGAAGGGAACGAACCTATGTGTCACCAAGAATTCTAAATGTACCCACCAATGTTGTGACATTTTGTTCATAATCTCCGTAACGAGTACGGCTTATGCAGCAACTAGCAGGTGGATATCTACGAGCAGGTAGGAATGTTCCTCTGCATCTTGGCACATGGTAAAGGATACCGGCAGGTGACAACATTATTCTATCATTCATTGCAAACAATATGTCACTATTTCAAACTGGTGCTCTATGCTGTCGCCGTATTAGTGCAACGTATGATACATCCGGCTCAAAACTATAATGAAGGTACGGAGCACTACTAGTTTGACCCGATTAAGCATCCACTATTTCAACATTGTATTGGGGCTATTGATGTGATGCACGTGAAGGCCGTGTTACCATGTTATGAGCGTGTGAACTTCATTGGAAAGAAAGGTGTACCGACGCAGAATGTCTTAGCGGTATGCAATTTTAATTTATGTTTCACGTTTGTGGGTGCTGGTACCACCGAAAATACGTACGACGCTCGCATCTGGCTCGTGCAATTCATAGTCCAGGAATACACTTTCCGCAACCAGCCCTGGGTAAATATTATTTGGTGGACTCAGGGTTCGCACATAAGTCGGGAATATGGCCCTATATAAAGATTCAGATATTCTGTACCACTTCCAACAGTTCCGTGACAAACATACGGGGCAACGCAGAAGATTTCGAAATGCGCGTGAGAGATTTAACTTCAAGCACTCGTCGTGCAGAAATGTCATAGAACGTGCCTTTGGTGTGGAAACGGAGATGGAAAATCCTTGACCGTATGCCTAGTTATCCATTCCCAACTCAAGTGGCAGTTGTCGTTGCGACGATGGGTATTCATAACTTACTACGCCATTCAGGGGTTATGGACGAGACGTTCTTGCAGGCGAACACAGATGAGGATGCTCCTGTCGAGGTGGAGATGCCCAACGCGGAGGACGAAGTGCATGGCGAAATGAATGCTCCCGAACTACAGCGAAATGAGTGGGACAGACTGCATGACTACATGGTACAACAACCATAACAACATTCGTAGTGAGTGTTGCATTTGTTCAAAAATTTTGCATTGTCATGTACCCACATTTTGTATACATATGAATTTCAGAAGCCGTTGTCATTGTACGGTACCTAAGATTGTTGTATTTTGTATCCGAGTTCGATGATATTAGTTGCGTTCATAACATGGGGGTGAGTTTGGTTTAATTCAAAACGTGGGCCAAAATGTGGCAACTAATTAATTTGAACGATGAATGGGTGGGTCGGCTCACTTCAGGTATTCGCAATTGGCCGTAGTCGTGGGATAGAGACAAAAGGTTCACGTGGTTAGGCTTTTTTTGTGGATTTCAATGGCCAAATTGGGGAGAAAAAATGAGTATAATTTTTTTCCATTCTGTCAACCATTAAATCGGCTGGGTTTGGTCATTTCTCTTATTTACTTCTAATTTTACCTTCTATAAAAAAAAAAATTTCCAACCAACGTGTTTTCTTTGAAATTAAATTGTAAATAAAAATATATTAACTAAAAAGTTATTTATGAACAAAAAAATTACATTATAATTAAAAAAAATACTTATAAGTATAAAATCACTTTTATTTAAAAATTTTACTTATATAATAAAAGTACAACTAATAAGAAAAGATTCATTTATGAAATAAAAAATTACTTAAGATTATTTAGAAGTATCAAATTATCTTATAATTGTAAAGCTTACTTATAAATAAAAATATATTAACTTCAAATTTTAAGTAAATATTTAACTTTATTTAATTTTTTAGTTAAATATTAACTTATATAAGTCATTATAGACTGCAAATTTTACTACGTTACCTATATATAATCTTATTTTTCTTAAAAAAAAAAAAAAAAAAACAAAAACTTTTAGAACCGACGAATAATAAGCTCTCAAGTATAAGTTGGACAATTTTAGAAATCGCTACTAAAACTATTCAAAATCAATCTGCTCAAAAGCGCTCAAAATCAGTACTCTAAAAATGCTCATAATTGGTATGCCAATACTCTCAAGTAGGAATGTCAACGAGTCGAGCCAACTTGGGCTTTTTTTTTTTGTTCGAGCATAAGCTCAAGCTCAGGCCGAGTCGGCTCGATATTCTGATTTTTTTTAATTTTTTTTTTTTACTTTTCTTTTTATTCTCTCTTAACTGCCAAACAGGCAGCTAAACTGCTGCCTGCCGGTTAAGGCACTTTTGCTGCCAAACAAGCAGCAAGTTCTTCCTCTTATTATTATTATTTTTTTAATTTTTTACAGTCAGCCCGGCACGAGCCAACTCCCAGAAATGGGGCTCTGCCTGAGCCTTGGCTTTGTGCCTCTGAGCCTCGAGCAATGCCAGCTCAGGCTTTTTTAGGGTCGAGTCACGGATGGCCTGAGCCGATGAGCCCGATTATCATTCCTACTCCCAATTAGCCCTTAGTGCTTGTCTACATTTGTATTGTGCATTAAGAACAACAACAATTTTCCAATTCCCTGGAGGATTCTGTTTAAATCTGGGTGAAGTTCAAAGACTTGCAATTGAAAGATGTTCGTTGCCTGAATTTTATTCATGATTGTTGGCATATATCATACATGCATCAATTAATAAAGTTTACTTTTCAACTCATTTATTCATTCATCTGTGACTACCAATCATTGAGTCTAAAATTTTAAGCGGAAGTCTAAAATTAGACATGATTTCAGTGATTTCTCAAATAAAAAGCTGGACATGGAATCAAGATGATGATCTGTTCATTGTTTATTTTCCAGTGGAATTATGCTTTTTTGTTTCAGAGCTAAATGATATATGTATATTAACTAGTATACAAAACCGTAATATCAGATGAATCTCCAGTTTCAATTATGGAAAAACCGAGAAGCCTCATATACATTTCACAAAAAATGTACAATAGCTATAAATCATAAAAATATAATTTGCAGGGAATAAACACCGGCAGGACTACAAGAACAACATAAATTAACTTAATATATGTTCAAATCCAATAATTTTGCAACAGCACAATTCTCATCAGCATGACTAAAAAATGTTGGTTCTTTCCAAAAGAAGATGGAACAAAGAAAAGAAGAAAAATGAAGTCAGATTTCTCAAAATGAGCCATTTTTGAACATCAAAAATACGTTTTCCTCTTTAGATCTCATCTTCTCCTGATTTTCGCCTTAATTGCAAAACTTTTGTCAAGCATGAAGGGGGATTTGCTATACTAGGCCACTGCAATATCTGTTAATTTTGCATTGCCTTCAATGAATTTAGATTTAGATTTTGCTAGGCGTGATGATCTTAATGAGGAAGAACCAGACTTTGAAGAGGACGTTGATTTAGATTTCTTCCGTTTCTGCTTCTTCTGAGTACGGGGAAATTCTGCAGGGATTATGCCCTTATAATTGTCAGTAGCTGATTGCTGCCGCAAGGATTGTAAAAAATCTGTTCTGAAGATAATAACAAAATCAACCATAAGAAAGTGTTCGAATGACTACTTTCTACCATCTGAGTACCCATGTAACATCAAGAAACATGAGATGCAGCATGCAAAAGTAAACTTCAAAGATACTTTTGTTCTCTTCTGAGGTTTAAAATTAACTTCAGAAATACATATTCATCATTAATACGATTCTCGTAATGAACTCACTAAATTTCAGATAAATATTTGAGAGAAACGGTAAACTAAGTTGCTGGTCAGAGAAGGAAATGAAAATCACTAGGCAATCACTCCATTGGCATTTCATCATATGATTAGGCTTCATTTAGCTTAATAAACATGATCAAGTGCAACTGAACATTTTCACATTTCTATGACCAATTCCAATTGCTCATATCAAACTGTATTCTACATTGATCTTAGTTTTATGTCTGCCGAATATCACATCAACCATAATTTTCTTTGAACACTTTCAAAAAACTGTAAGCAAAAACTGAAACCCGTTCAGCTTCTTTTCCACCCATAACTGAAACCGAAAGCTGAGATATTTCCACCCACTCACTATTCAAATTTGCTCAGATATATTTGCAATATCGAATGCTTCAAAACGATGTAACCCTTCCACGTCTTTCTGATACCAAAAACTATATAATCTTTCCAATTCATTAATGTACCGGCGCTTAAAGTGTTCTGAGATTACAGTTCAGGGCACTGATTCAAGTCTAAAAATCAACTTATAGAAGCCCCACGTCTTCACAAAGGCCCATATATAGACAGATCCCACCATTGATTCAATGTGCAAAGAATCTTGGGAACTTTACCTCTCTCACAAATCTGGTCTATATAACAAAAAAATATTTTTAAAAAAACCTTGTCATTTTAAACTCTAAAATGCATCCAGTGGTCAAGCTCTAGACTTTTCCAATTATGGGCATTGCACATGATAATATGATCCTTTCTAATATGATCCTTTCTTGATTTCTCAACTTATCATTCGAGTTTCAAAAGAAAAAATGATGTGCTCGTTTCATTATTGAAAGATTTTAAATCCCTTTTAACTGTTATCAACATTCTGTCTGTATACTTTAATGTCAACTAGTCTAAACCTATAAATTATAGAAAAACATTAAGAAGGAGAAAAGGATGTCAATATTCAAAACCTACGTTGAGATGACCACGGAGAATGTACAGAGCCAGTATTACCATTTAAAATTGCCGCAAAATCCGGCCCTGAATTGAATTCATTCATCTACATTTTGACAAGAAACTCAAAGGTCAATTATTGATTAAAAAAATAAGGGGAAAAAATGAAAAATAAGTACCCAACTGATTCATCATATATTCTCGATAAAATACATACCCAACTAGGTGCACTACCAGAAGGGCCATCCCACCCAATGTGTGCAACATGCTTAACATCTGAAGGGTATCCTATCTCTATTTCACGATCCTCCTTCACAACAACAGAGAAAAACCATTTTCACCTTATCCCCGAAATGAAGAAAAAAAGGGCCCATAAAAAAGCTATAATACTAATAAATTTATGAATAGAAATATAAGAGAGGCATACCAAGCATTTGAGACGAAGTATATTTGAATCCTTTGTAAATCCCTTTCATTTTTGTTCCCATTGAAGAAGCTGAACAGGATCAATTCAATTCCCAGCAGCGCTGAAATGTAACAAGGCTGTTGCTTTGCCTAATCCAAGCAAACATATTGAATTGACTTATTGATAGCACACTATATTCTCGATACATGCATCGAACCAAGTGGGATGCAGCCTGCAGGGCTCTCGCAAATGGATCGAGAGAGAAACAAAAATCCAAATATAACCATGAAAAACAGGGTAATAAAGAAAACAAGGGAATGGTTATTTGGGGCGCCAAGATTCAAGAAATTACGACATTGGATTTTGTAATGGTGCCATATACGGCGTTTCGGGGTGGCGGGAGTGTTGTGCAGGGGATGGGGTTGAAGAATGTAGAGAAAAGAAACAGGAAAAAGAAGAGGAAGAGGAAAAGAAAGAGGAGGAAGGCGGTGGAGGAGGAGAGAGAAATAATAACCACCACGAAAGCCCGCCAAAAGAATGGTACTGAGGGGTGAAATTGAGGTACTCGAATACAGGATTTATCATGGAAAACAGGAATGTCTTGGAAGGTAAGACGTAACGTGGGTTGGCTCATTAGGCACTTTGACAGTTTAATTGGAGAGGCGCTCGGACCCTGATCAGTAGGAGGCACATTCCGTGATTTAATTGGTCTGTGTGAAGAGAGGCCGGATCACATACTAAAGGAATAGTCTTCGAAGGTAGACACCTTGATTTAAAAAAAAAAAAAAAAAAAAAAAACCTTGTAACGAGATTACAATCACTAAACCGACTTTTCGTGTCAGTTGAGTACAATTTCATTTTGAAGCATTTATAAAGAGAATAATGCAATGCAGCTTCGCTAAGGTTATAATTACAATCTAGATGAAATCAGTTGATAGACTGAATGAAAAGTGAAATTAAATGACTTACTTAATTTTACGTATTTTACCCTTTGAAATCATTTTTCTTTAATTCTCAAGCCTACACCGAGGTTTTTCACAACTTGAAAATTGACCTGCCTCATTTTGAATTTGACCCAAATCAATCAATTTTTTCAAGTTGGACCGTGCTCACGGGGTAATATGCCCAAACTCTAATTACAAGAAGGAAAATTCCATCAAGATCCTCCACCTTTTTAAGTGTGAAATTAATAATCATAGCTATTTTATTTTTATTTTTTTGAGAACAAATTTTATGAACATTGATGAAACTTCATCTTATTCGGATTTTCTTGATAAAAGCCAAAAGTAGCCATTTTGGATGTTGATTTTTTTTTTTAATTAATTTTATCATTTCAATCCAACATCACGAACTATCACACGTTTCTTTAATTATGAGCATCGTCTTTAAAGGTAGAGACTCCTACGAGATTTAATGAATCGATGCATGAATTGTCGTTGAACCAGAACTAGCTCTCTTAATATATCTCACTCAAAATACACACACCTATAATTTAACAAATACTCTTGCTGGTTGCATGTACATTCTGATTTACATTCTAGTTTATCGAATTTATATTTGGCACAATCGCATCCAATCTTTCGCATCTTACAAATTTAATCTAATCATCACAATCTTGCCACGTCACTATCTATCAAAAAGAATGTCAAAGTACATTTACAAATAGCTTAATTGTTTAACAAAATTAAAAGGGAAAAACGTATGACAGCATAAATCGATCATTAATAATTTAATATTCTAATAATCCATGCGACTGTCAGAAATCAGAATGATCGTCCATTTTTAGCATATTGTATAAATGCAAAAGGTATTTACTAAAATCAGATTATATTCATAGATGGAACCACGTTTATTTGCCATACCCTTTAAATTTTTTATTTTATGCGTTGTTATTCTCATACAGCTATTTTTCAAGTGGACAGATGCAGCTATAATCTTGTGCACAAGAGCAAATTCGGTACACTTGATAAGATCGACATAGTACTATCTACCCCTATTTGACAACCACAAATTGGAGTGAACAAAATGATCAAATCAAGTCAAATCGAATCAGAGTCAAATCAAATCGAACCAAAGTCAAACCAAAACGAACGGTTCAATTCCATTCTACAAAAAATAAAATAAAAATAAAAAAATAATTATTCTAATTTTTAGAACTAAGAACCATTTGATTTGGTTTTAATTCTGAAAGTAAGAACCAAACTCAATATTTAAATGTTGTTGTTATTATTATTATTATTGAATCACAATTCACATCGAAAAATTCAAAATTCAATTGGAAATCAAGACAAAAATGTTATGTACCTTCAATTTCTCATTTCTTAATGTAGAGACTGAAAACCCTAATTCATTTTAGAGACTCGTACCATAATTTGTTTCTCATTTTCTCTCTTTTCCAATTTACACACCAACTCTCACATAAATACTAACAATTGCCACCTACTATCTACTATTACACTCAACCACCATTATCGCATGAATTTTTGAAATTGAAGCCTCAACCTTCGATCTTCTTCCTCAAATGTTCTTTGATTCTTTTTCTATCAATCAATACTATCAATCAATAATGAAACGAAGAACCAAACCAAACCAATTAGTTCGATTCCAATTTGGTTCCATATCTTACAAAAAAAAAAAAAAAAAAAATTGGTTCAATTATTAAAAAAAACTATTGGCTCACAGTTCAGATCGATCCTCTTTGAAGCAGAACCAAATTGGAGCCATGTCCACGACTAACCACTGATTTTTTTATTTTTATTTTTTTTTTACAATCACACATTCACACTATAAAGTCCTTGCTTGACAACCATTATTTGGTAAAAACTATGTTTTGAACGGTAGATTTTAAGTGAATGTGTAATTAAAAAATATAGAAAAATTTTGAGTTTACATGCAAAATATTTTATTGCATGAATTTGTGATTAAAAATGAGTACTAAAAAAATTGTAAATAATGATTGTCAAACAAGGATGAAATATTCTGCATGTAAATCCAAAAATTTCCCTACTTTTTAATTATACGCTCTCCTAAAAATTACTATTCAAGACTCCATTTTCCCCAAATAATGGTAGTCAAACATGGGCCTAATCCTTCCTACCAAACAAATCATAATTCCGTAACCTTTCCTCAAAATCACCATCTCAAGTAAGGTTAATCTTCACTAGAATCTCTGCGGCAATCTGCACAAGAAAGTGATGCAACCCAAGCATGACATTTTAAAACAGCCCAGAAAAGTTAATCTAATATATTTCAAGTGATATCACAAATCCCACAAAACAGTAAGCTTTTAAAAACAATCATCTCTAGAGTTACGATACTTAAAATCCTCTGAGATCACTCCGAAAAATGGCAATATGAAGTACTAATAAAGACAGTACATTTTTCTTCTAGGACCATGATAAAGATCTTCTAACAAAAATTCAAAAGGAAAACGAAATGCACAAGGAATCCAGCTTCAGTACTCATATTGGGGGAGCGGCTATCCTCAGAATATAGCCAGATTGTCCTAGAAATCTGCTGTCTGCCGATTTCTTATAGGTGGCAACCTGACATCATTTGTAATTTAGGGGGGCTAAGCCATTCCATAGCACATTACAAAAATAAGTAAAATGGAATTTTCACCTAATAACTCAAACAAAATGAGAAATGCAATTTTCATCCCTGGCATGTAAAAAAATCAAAACCACATAGGAAAATCAATATTGATATTGCAAATCAAAGAATGTTCCACACATTTTTTTATCTCAGCTAGTAATATCGCGAGTACTAGATACAAAAAATGCTCTCAACAAACGCAAAAAATTGCAAATGCTTCAGTAGGAGAAATGTTTGAAGGGGATGAGAAATTGGAAGGCTAAGCCATTTTTATTTATTTTTTAATATGATTTACAAGTGGTTAGAAATGAGTTAAAATCACTCGTTTGACTTATTTCAAGTGAGAGATTCTATCGATTAAAATTATGAACCATAGTCTCCAAAATGCGAGAGTTTGGACACAACCTTCACCACAGAAATAGTAAGGGCATTTCACACTCCATACTAGTGTAGGGATCAATGCTTTTGGGCTATGTTTGGCACACCGAATTTGATCGTATAAGGAATTTTGCATAAAATTATAATGGATAGTAAAATGCAAATGGTATTATGGAGTATTAAGGTGAAAAGTGTTTTTCAAATTTTCATTCAAAAGAGAGTCATTTGCACCATCGACCGTATAATAAAATACAAAGGTTAAGGCTGGTTTAGGCTGGATGAGGAAGGAAGATATAACCCCTATTTGATAAAAGTTGATGGAATGTATGGTCGAAAAATTGTAAGTCCAATGCAATATGTTGTTAATTATTAACTTTAACTTAGATTTTGATAAGATTTTTTAGCGGTATCAAATAGGGGCATGGTAAATGACATTTTTTTTGAATAAAAATTAATGGATACTATCAACCTTAAATACATTATAATCCCATCTATCCAATAATATCCACTAAAATTTTTATATAGCTTAATCTGGAGTGCCAAATGTGGCTTTGGAGGATAAGATGCAAGGCAATGGCTCCAAGACATTGCACTAAAGCCTTTTGGTATCAAAAATATTTTTATAAAAGAAAACTACTAAAAAAACAATTCAAGAAACTTAAACAGTAGAAAAAAGACTACAAGATAGAAAAGCTTAAATGGACAATTTAGTGCTTGTGTGGAAGTGATTTTTGGAGAACTTTGAGCTTTCTTTCTTGACGAAACTAGTAAAACTGCCTGTTTCCAAATGAGGGTGTATGCATCAAAACTATGTCAATTTATACATTGCCAAATGCCAATCCAACTGGTAAGCCCAACAATTATTTCAAAGCCTGTGATGCTCGAACTTGGATGCAGGTATCAAGTACGGGTACGTATCTAAGTGTCGGATATTTTATTTTCTAAAATATATGATACAAGTACATAGCTAAAAATGGTCCAAATTTCAGACGCGGTTACGTGAATACATCTTTTAAGCTTCACTTTTGTTACTAATCAAAGATGTCATTCTGAATGAACCGAAATCTATTGTTAACAAAGGAAGTGAATATTGAATAAGGGGTTAAGACAAAAAAATAAAACTTTGGAGATTAATTTTTAATTATGAGAAGTTAATTATTATATAAAATAAAAAATGAGAGACTTGGTTCCAATTTAGACTTAGTGGAGCACTAAATAGCACTATATGAAACTCATTTTCATTTTATACAAACAAAACCCTAAACCACAGATACAAAGAGGGAAGGAGGGAAAAAATTGCGAAAGGGAAAACCTCGCGCCATTGTCTTTCTCCTTCTCCTTGGAAGTGGCGCTAGGTTTATAGAGAGTAAAACGGGAAAGAAAAGGAAAAGAAAAAGAAAGAAGAAAAAGAAGCAAAAAAGGCAAAGTGTTCAATTGAAACTTGGAGCATCCGACACATATATTATATCCATACCCATACCCAGGTCGAGTACTCCG